GGAGGGGGAAGGTCTTTTACTTAATAAGAAACTGGTGCTGTGATTTTGAATTTGGATACGTACCCATAACATGCTCTCTAGTCCTGGTGTATTAATACTTGGTTTTCAGCAGTCCACACTAGATTTAGGTTTCCATTCATAAAGGACACACCCTGCTCCAAAGGGCTTTCTGTTTGGTAGGGGCGGGTATTAAATCTACTGTACCAGTCCCATTGTCGGTCAGCTATTAACTCTTTTTTTCCCCCCTTCCTTTTTGCATTACTATGCCTCTCCTTGTGTCATTCTGAATCTAATTCAGTTGTACCTCAGTGAAGTGTTCACTACAAAGGCAATCCGTAATTTAGTTTTCAAGCCTCACATGTCCAGGTGAGACTTGTACTTCAGTAACACATCTCACAGCAGTAATGATCATTGTTGCAGATAAATATTTCAGACCCTGAAATAGAAATATTTTCCCCTTTCAGGAGTACTTCGAGAATTAGCAATGGGCAAGAGTTCACTAAATAGAAGCTCCCTTTCAGAATTATGGTGGGTCTTTGGTGCTGAACGCTGGTTAAAATCTAGCCCTAAATATGTAAAGAGCTTTGAAGATTAAGACGAGATTATCAAAGGAACTTTGGGCTTTGGATTGTGTTGAAATGTAGTGGGATTTGAGAACCAAACTCTTCCTAGTTCTTTGCCAATCACAGTCTGGAGAGTGAAGCAGCATATATTTGTATATGCGGTTGCAGTGAGCGTAATGGGTTCTCATTTGTTTAAGGTTTTTTGTTGTGTTTTTTTTTTTTCATTTTGGCTGCTCTTCACTACTTGCATCAGGTTCTTCAAGTGGACAAACAGATTAGTACATAGTAACTTGCATGACTTACATGTGTTGTGAAATGAGATTGAAAGCAAAGTATTTTCACAGTAGTTGTCAGATGGGCTGAAATTAAGGGCAGCCCATATCCATCAGTGGCCAGACCTTGATAATTAAGTGGAAGGTGCAAGCAGAGTTATTAGGTTGATTTAGGGAGCAAATCGTTCAGGCAAGTCTTGTTTTGCTCTAATAGTTAGGGACCTACTTAAATTGTGGTTTTACAGTTTTTGCGGAAACTGAAAAATGGCAAACTGTGATCACTGCAAAAAATCACATTGGCCACAGTTTCCCAGGAAATCAACCAACCCAACCCCCCAAACTTTAATTAAAATAAAATGCGGTCTCCCCAGTGGAAGCCAGCAGTCCTCAGCGCTGCTGTGCCTGGCCTCATGGCCTGCCTGTGGCGGGGGAGGTGCTGGCTGGCAGGGTGGCACAAAGGGCAGCCAGTAGATAAGATGGTGCCAGCCCCCTTGTCCTCCCCCCCACCCCCCTCCCTGGCCTCTGCCAATCAGTGCCAAGGGGTGGGACTGCCAGGGAAAGACCAGAACTAGCCCTTTAGCCTGTGACCAAGCTGCAAAAATTGCTTTTCCTCACCACAAGTTAGGTAGATCCCTACAAAAAGTGTAAACTCTAAAGCAGTCTTTTATTCCACTAAAACATCTAAACTTTTGATATAACATTACTACTGTACTGTAATTGTAGTACTTACCAAACTGTGCTGTTAAACTTGTTTTCACTTGTCTGTGAAATTCTGGGAGGAGGGTGAACCTTTGTATGCATCTAGGAAAATCTCTTCCTCTGGTTCCAATCTGTAATGGGCTTTTGGTGATCTAGTTGCCTGAGATGGAATTTAAGACCGAGTAAGTTCCTGGTATGGAATTGTTGCTGCTTTGGGTATGGTGATGATGAAAAGATAAAATTAGGAATGCTGATCTTTCCTAATTTTAGTTGTTAGCTGTTTCCTAATGGTATTTCAGCAGCTATGTCACACCCTGAAGGAAGAAAAAAATTCAAACTTGCTCTGATGTCAGCTAGCTGATGCATGTAAAAGAGGCTGGCTGAATATTAGACTGAATATTTATATGCCATTTCATTGCCCCTCAAACAATTGTTGGGACTTTCTATAGGTGAAATAGCAACTTACCCCCTCTGGCATTGACTGTTTGACTTGGAGCATTTGTAACTGCATGGTAGCAATTTAGGGTGATTCTCACACATTTATTCTTAAGAAGTCTTTGCTAAATGATGCTATGGAGAAAAATGTTCTAGGACACTACCCAGTGACTGTCTTGACTAGAATGGGCTTTAACACCATGTCCTTGCTGAACTAGATCAAAACCTTTTTCTGGGTATAGATTTGATATAACTGTTTGTTCTTGATTTCTATCTGATCATGTCACTTTGAGTGCTGGCTACCACTGAGCAGCTACTATAGTTTCTTTCATGCAGGACATACCTTTTTTTTTTCCAAAATCAGCCCCACAGAATTGGGCTTTGCATATTAAATGACATAGCTGATTTTTTTCTACTTGGGATAGAAACACCCTAGTTTGATTCTGACTCCACAGTACAATAGCTGTTCCATTACTATTAGGGCAGTTCAGGAAGGCTCATTGTTCTTCAGTTTAGGTGTGTTAACTATTATCTCTCCTTCATAATGGTCTTGATATTCTGTTAATCTTTCTTAGAGCAGTTCTGATGTCTGATAGCTGCTTCTGGTCTCTCTCCTCCTTTTTCAGAGACTTGGAAACACTCTAGCTCTTTTCAGAATCTCAGATCCAAACATGGAGACCAGTTTTCAGCATCTAGACTTTCAGTTTTAGTTGATTAGGAAAGGGAGAAGATCTGGCTCTGTCCCTGCTCTCTACAGCTATAACTCTGGATTTTTTCCCCCATCAATTTTTCAAAAACAAGATGCATAATATGTTCTGGGGTATGTCGTATGAGGGAGCATGTTTAATTAAGCAGAAAGTTTCTTGTCTAATGTAAAATGAAGGGTGAATTTAGGGTGGGTTTAGCCTAGGCCATGGGTGGTTTGTTTTTTTCCCTAATTAAATACATTTTCAACACATTTAAGAGTCATTCTTTGAGAAAAAGAGTTACTTCAGGTGTGCTTCACACTTCAATATGGGAGTTTTTGGTCCATGACTTTCTGTACTTCATGCTCAAATAAAATGTCTTTACAAGCATACTTATTTGAGCTGTCTGAATCCCTTGCTTAATTTTTGGAAATATAAACTTGTAAAATTTCAATGGTTAATCCAAATGAAAAAAGAGATACAAGGCAGATTCTGATGGAAGATGCAGCTCATGTACTAGAAAAACCTGATGAAAATAATATTTTAAAAACTAGAAAGGTTATGTATACCTGGATGTTTGATGTTTTTCCAATAAGTTGGTGTCCTCTAACTCAGTATGTACTGTAACTTATTTTGACTTGCCAAATCGGGTAGTAGCTTATTGCTGTTTAATAACTAACTTAAACTGAGAATGGGTCCACAAATCTACAGTAATCTATAGATTCGTTGCATTAGAATTTTCTTTTAAGTCTCATGCAATCTTTGCAACTCAGATTAAAACCATCCTAACCGTGCAGTTGGTCCAGTGAAAAGCTTTACCTTCAAAAATCCTTGTTTTTGGACCGTCACAGCTACATCACTCCAACACTACCAAACCATATTTATTGCCAATCTTTAACAGTTAAAAAATTTATAAGCATTTGTTTGGGAGGGTTTAAACATGATTTTTTTTTTTGTAACCTAAAATATATGCAAAATGAGGCTTAAAAATAACGTAGCTGTTAACTATTTCTTTCTTTGCACATAAATTACCTAATCTTATTTTTGCTACAGCTCTTAGTATTTTTGCAACAGTGAAAGTCTTAAAACATGTCAGCTCTAAAGTGTGTCAGAAGTTTGGAATAATGGCATGAGTGAGACTCCTTTAATGAAAAGGATTTGCCCTGATATTTTCCTATCTGCCAGTAATGTAAAAATAGTTTCAAGTCATCTAAGCTTGGGAGATTTGGGGTTCATTTTTCATACAGCATAAAATGGGGGCTAGGGCAACTTCTTGGCAGACTTGCCACAAAGTAAGCCATGTGCCCCCCCATAAGTTCAACTCTGTTTCTTTTCCCCTTCCCAGAGCACCTGTGCTTTCTGCTCCATCTGCCACTGTTCTGCCTTGCCTGCCCATTTCCTGATCCTCTGCCCATGCCCACGTTTTTCCTGAAAGTCTGTTTTTAAAGCCTCAGTGTGCAACACCCTGAGCACATTGCATCACTTAAACTGATTTTGGATTTGGATTCATTTAGTAGATTTGTGTAATCTTAAATTTTACCCTTAATTTTGTATAGCAGGCTAAAACACTGCTTATATATAACTTCCTTTATATAAAAGTAGGAAGAAAAATATGGGTTGTTAGACTTAAATAGGTGCTCAAAATTATGGTTATTTCAGGTAGGGTAAGAAAGATGCAATCAAATATATTTTTCCAGTTTGTTTCCCTTCCTTATCTAATGGTAGCCATTTTGTTTCTGTAGGTACTGACCTCTACTGTGGTGTTGAGCCTCTTCTTGACTCTGCCTAGTTTTATAGAATTATTTGAAGCATGCATATGAAAAAATAATTGCAACTGATCACTTTTAATGCAAAACATCGGAAGAAGCAATTGAAGAAATCTTATTTCATCACCAAAAGAACCAGTGAATGCATCTTCCGTGGTGTGTGAATACAGCTAAAACAAAACCTGTTTTGTTTGTGGCAAGAAAACCTTCCCTGCAGTAGTCTCCAGGTTCATCATATTTGTGTGTATACGGGTGGAGAACCTCATAAGTGCCCTTATTTTGACTAGAGAACAACCTGAAAAGAACAAACTTCACTTTAAAACGCCTAAGTGGGAACCTGCCGCAAGAAACATGCCAACGCAGCCCCTTTTGGCATATATGGAGGGACCGGATGGTATAGCCAGTACTGTTGGTGCCCAGATGGAGAGTAATGATGCTTCAATGCCAATAAAAGGAACCAACACCATTTCTTACAAAGGCTTGCAAGAAAAGTTCCTAATGCAAGCTGAAGGATGCATGCCTTTGGATTGCATGTTTTGTGATCAGACTTTTAAACACTCTGAAGAACTTGGTAAACATGTCTTAACTCAGCATAGGCCTACACTTTGTGAACCAGCAGTTCTGCGTGTGGAAGCAAAATATCTTAGCCATCTTGATAAATGTCAAGTGAGAACAGACTGTCCTCCATCAAACAGTGAGAAGGATAATGAAGAATTTAGCTGTGAAGTTTGTGGACAAACGTTTGATGAGGCTTTTGATGTTGAGACCCATATGAAAAAACATAAGGACTCTTTCACATATTGGTGTAATGTATGTGGCAGAAGATTTAAAGAGCCTTGGTTTCTCAAAAATCACATGAGAACACACACTGGTAAACCTGGTTCGAGAAACAAGCTTCAGCAAGGTTCTGAGTGCCCAATAACAATAAATGAGGTGGTGCAGGAGCATGTAACTGAAAATGTAATATCACCTTACAAAATCTGCATGGTTTGTGGTTTCTTATTTCTCAACAAAGAGACTCTAATTGAGCACAGTAAAGTGCACACCAAAGAATCTGTGTCCAGTGGTGATATTCCACAAGTCCTTGATGGAGCCAGTAAAGATGAAATGTATTCACGAGATCAGTTTCTGCAGTTTTTGGACTTAAGGCCGAATTTGACTTCAGAAAACAGCAAATTGCAAAAACCTGTGAAATGGATAGCTGAGCTAGATCCATTCAACACATATCAAGCATGGCAGCTAGCCACCAAAGGGAAAGTTGCAGTTGGCCATGGACAGATTAAAGAACCAGGGCAAGAAGGAAGTACTGACAATGATGATTCATCTTCTGATAAAGAAGAACCTGGTGAAATTTGGAATGCAAATAAAAATAACCAGGTTAGCCAGACAGAAACTACAGGGAAGTCAAAGGTAAATAAAAGCAGTTATACAGGAACTGGTATCGTGTCTCAAGACAAAGTGAAACATCCCAGTGGAGAAGTGCCTTCTATGGAGGTGGAATCTAAATTGTCACAAAACAAAGATAAACCAACGCACTGCTCAGTGTGCGGCAAAGCCTTTAGAACCTACCATCAACTTGTCCTGCATTCGAGAGTACATAAAAAAGACAGGAGGAGTGATGGAGAAACTTCAGCCACCTCTAGAACATGCTGTACAGACGTGATTGTAACCTTGGATGAAAATGGAGCAGTAGAGCGAACAGAGGGAGGCTCTGAAGACGGCTCTGAAGATGGACTTACAGAGGCCCTTCATTTAGGTGAGCAGTGTAGTTGACTGCTTACCACTACAGTCAAATAGCACAATTATTTGTACAGTATTCTTGTGTTTGACATTTTTACAAAGCAAGGAATTCGCTAAACTTTCTTCCTCTTCACATTGTCACTAGGAAAAAAGAGGCTCGGGCTTTATTTAACACTGAGCTTTAAGCAAGCAGTAACGTAGAAGCTTACAGTGGCAAAATATATACTGGGAACTAAAATTTTGTAATCTGTCACTTAGGTTCCTTAACTTTATTTCCAAGAAACCTTAATTTAACTGGCTGTACTGTTCCTGAGATATTGCATGGCTGCTATTGTCTAATACAGAGCCTGTCTGTATTGGTGGGGGCAGATAAAAAAAAAAATAAATAAATAAATAAAAAAACCCCGAAACATTATAAATTGCAAGTATACAGGGTTTCGGTTAGCTTTTGTTTAGTCTCTTGCCATTATTGTGGAACCAGGCAGAGGAAAAAAGGTGCTTCCAGTATCTGTATAAATAATTCTTCACTTCTCAGTTCTAATAATTTCAAGACATTTTCGGTTTGTGTTATTGCATGTAGCACATCTTGTATGATACAGATTCTGAAAACTTGAACGTTAAGATTGCTGAAGCTAAGGGAAAATGTTATGGGCAGCTGGCATGTACCCTGAATGTGTGTGAGAGAGGTTTTGTTGAAAGGTGTATCCTTTTTGGGAGAAAAGAGTAAAGTTTCCTTGCTTCATAAATGGCATCAGTCTGAATTAACTGTTGCTGCTGTTGGGTAGGAACATGCAGAATATTAAAAAAGTTTATAAACTTTCTACAACTCACACTTACTGGGGAACTAAGGTAAAGGCAGGATACCAGAGATGATATTTCGAACTAGCCTTGTACATTTAATTTGTGACATACTTTTTGTGTGTGCATTTAAGGACAGGATATTTGCATAACCTCAAGAAAAGTCACAGTGTACAGAATGTCCTGGCGCACACGCTTGTGTTTTTCCATTTCTAGTTCTATGTAGCCCTTTTGTTTGGCAGCTGTGATAGTGATGATATTAAAAAGGTTATTTACCTAATGTTAAATGTACTTCTCAGTAGCTGCTATCTTCCTGCATTAAAACAGTTTTTATCAGGAAGTGCTGAGTCATGCAGAGGGTGGCATATCCATAGAGGCAACTTTCAACTGCAATTGCAGGACTCTCCATGGGGTGTGTCAAATCTTAAAAGCTAACAAACAAACAGCTTTCTAGCTCAGCCATCTACATTTTTTTGAGAACCATTCAAAACAATCTTTTTTGTGTTGAGAGAGCAGCTGGCTATGCAAGTAAAACCATTCATTTCTGAAAACATTCCTTCTCCGATTCCCCTATTACTTTTTAGCCGCTTCTGACCCGAGTGGTTGCAGTTACGTAATTTTGCTTTTAGTGTTCTTCATATAACCTGCCAAAAAAAGTAATATTCATTTGACCACAGTGTTCATGTTTAAAACTCCCTTTTTTCCACCTTTCTTGTTCGATATTATGCTGGACTTGCTACCCTCTAGTGGTGACTATTGGGATTAGTTTAACATCAGCCAAGTGTGTCCATCCTCCGTCCTCTCCCCGCCCCACCTGTGAATTTTGTTCCTTGAAAACATGTTGATTATTCTGTGAAGCACACCCTGCCCCCACTCCCTCAGGTTTGCCAGATATCCATTTCAGTATTAATAATTCTGCTGGAAAACTATCAAGGCTTTGCTCTAACTTGTTGAAAATGTTCCCCTTCAGGCACAAAATTCCATTGGCCAGTGCAAATTAAATTCTTCTTGCACTTTAAGTCTGTGGTTTTGTATCTTTCTGTTTTAAATTTCTGTATAAAATAACACCTTTATGTGCCCGTGTTAGATATTTTGAGGGATAGCAAATTGGAGATTTGCCCAAGTGATTAAAGGTAATGAAATGTATTTGTTCTTTCAATTTTAAAGGCCTGGTTTGACATCTAATTTCTCATCCCCCTGGTTTAACCATAGTTTCAAACTACAAAGTATTTCACACGCAATTAGAAGCTCTCAATAGTCCAGGAGCTGGCCTGTAGAGTACTGCACAACTAAGATGCATGAAGTCCTCTCCAGTGAGTTGATGGCAGCTAAGGACATCTTAAAAAAATGATTTTAACTGAGAAACTTTTACTACTGGGGGATAAAATCCCCAAAGTCCAAACTTTTATTTTTTGTCTCATAATATAGTTGTTTTTCCTCCACCCCTACAGATAAGAATGAAGATGTCTTGGAAAG